AAGAGAAAGGAACAATTGAAATCGCATCATGTGACCCCTTTAAAGGTTGAGTTTGAAGACAAAATACATGAGAAATGGTAAGTGAAGTCTATATGATATTTCTCTGTATAAAGCATAGACTTTATTCAAGCAACTAAACAAACATATTAGTTAAAAATGCACTCTTGAGACACTGCAGGTACATGAGCGTTTCACGTTTACCCCAGCTTTCAGACTTTTGCGCACACACATATGCCTTGCACCCAGTTTATTGTCTGCTATCTGCTTCACCATAAACTTTTATAAGTATTAAATTCATTGAGTTATCTTAAGTCCTTGTGACATGCATATCGTGCAGCCCTTGTTTCAGTGTAACAGGAAGGAGAACCATGTCATTCCTTTTTTTCTGGAGATTTTGATGATTGATTGCGAAAATGAAGGTCACGATAATAATTTGTCCTAATTAAGATTAAGCAATTATTTGTTTCCAGGGAGACCATGTATGGGCGGATGTGGAACTTCACTTCAGATTTTTCTCGTGGAGATACAGCCTACACAAAGCTGGCACTGGACCGCCACACCGACACGTCATACTTTCAAGAACCCTGCGGGTAAACGGGAAAATCAAAGTTAGGATTCAAGTAGCCACGAAAGGCCAAATGTCTGTCTGTCAGATCAAGTTTCTGTAGTGCATGCTTAGTCAGTCGGCAGGGAGTCCAATTCACATCCTCTCTGTTCTCTTATAAGCACTTAAATCATCTAATGACCACAGGAGTAACCTTAGAAAACAAGTTAGGAGATTTGACAGATTTGTATTGATTTATTTTTAAATGATGTCCACATTTTTCTACTCCTTTACAAGTAAATGCCATTCTCTAAAGATGAAAATCCAACAACACTACAGTACTTATTATTATCTTAATGTTTAGTTTTCCACAAATTGTTCAACTTGTAACAGGCAAACAGCTACTCAGTGAAATGTTGCAGGAAATATTAGACTTGCAGCACATAAGTATTGTTATGATTGTGAAAGACACAATTATTTATTGTTGGTAGCTATGATTTAGTTATGTCAAGAAGTAGAAATAAAAACAAACTGAAAATGTCATTTGCATAATGGCTAGAAGACACTTAACAAAAACCTTTGCATTGATCTTGGATGCAAGACAAAAAATATTGGCC